ATAATCTATTGAATCTCGTTTCGTGAATACTATTTATCAAAAACTTTACTATTCATTACAAAGCTTCTCCGCCATATTGAATCCACTATCTCGAATTTTCTATAATTTCGTCCATTAATCTTTAACCTCGAAAACTCCCAGATACCAATTTTGAATAGAATCCGATAATAAATTACAAAACCCGTCCGCCATATTGGATCCACCATATAGAATTTTTGACGAAGGAATCATAATATCCGACCATGTAAACCCCAGATACCAATCTTGAATAGAATCTGATCATAATCACAGAACTCGTCATATTGGGTTCGCCATCTCGAATTTCCTAATTTTGAAGAATTTTTGAACTTATTAGCCCATATTTCAGATGAATACAATAAAAAATCAAATATCATGAAAATTGTTCCAGCCGTTGTTGAATTAAAAATGGTGTAACTATCACGAATTTGTACTTCCTTGTATATAGACAGATCTAAACATTCTAAACAATCTGAATTCATCGACTGTTTTCCCTAAAAACAGTGCCCCATATCCAAATGCATCTTCAGCTTCTAAACCCTGGAGTTCTCGATCAATTGAATTTCCAAAATTTCTACTGTCTCACACTAATGTCCATTTATTTATTGTCAACTCACGTTCTTGAATTTTCCAGCTTCACATAGGTAGGCACAATAACACATCATGAGTAATCATAATTCGAGCACAATGGAAAACTAATAAAATAACATAATACCATAGATTCATAGATTAAAGATTGAAATCTCTTATACATACCAAGGAAGTCTTATACTAAAAATAATTGTGGTTGCAGTATCGTAGATTAATAATAATCTACATGTACCTACCAATATATTAGAAATCCAACAAAAACTAACATTTGACAACTCCGCTTCTATACGCTGAATGCCATGTTACAGAAATCTGTAAAAAATCGAATTTGCGACCACGCGCGGTAATTCGCAATAGCGGCGATAGATGGTAAAAATTCGGGGTCCCAACTAAATCCCAAACAAGCGTTACCGTCTGAATGCATGGGCGGTGTATATCTAGGGGAGTCGTTAATCTATGCTACTAACATAGATCTAATTACACAATAGCATTAGATGGACAACCGCCGTGTAAATTTATCGCGCTCACGATTTGGATGTGAAATTTTCTAGTACTGGATTTGAGTTGCTAGATGGTGCTGTTTCTGCATAAAACACTGTTGGTAGAACTGGAAAATCAGTTTCGCCAACTTGTTCTTCACGATATGGGGCGTGGCGTAACGGCGTGGCCCGGAGCTTGGAATGATTTATGATTAGAAGTGGAAGGGATAGAAAGGGGTTATATGCGGTAGGTCAGGAAGCCGTCTGCCGCTGCCGTCTTGCTCTTGCTAGATTCTTAGGGCAAAACAAATTGTAAAATAATTAATAGGTATTCTTTCCGCGTGTATTTAGATCTATGCCGCGTGCATCTGATGTCGCTAGAAATGAAATGAAATATGCACAGATGTGGAAGAATTCGTAGAGATTCGAGAATTACCTCTGAGAGATCTATGCTCTGAGTTTGATTAGGGGGTTAAGAAATGCCCGAGAATAATAAATAAGATAGGTAGATATTGAGGTAATTCGGGTATGGGTCGAATTTTTGATACGTATTTGATTGGAATTAGATCTATGATAAAAAGAAAGGGCACAATATGGTAGGGGTAGGCGTGGCAAGGTGAAATTAGGTAGGCATAGATATTGGGGTAATGGGTAAATAATATATATCTCAGGTAGATAGGTACCTATAAGAAGAAGAAATTAGGTATTAAAATTCATTGTGTTCAATTACGTGTGTATTATCCAAAGTGTTATTTAGCGAGCTATTGTGCAAATTTATTTCGAAAAATGGTTAAAAGTGGAAATAAGTGTTGTTATCATAATTGTGGGAAAACCAAGAGAGCATACCCAAATCTACAACAATTCAGCTTTCCAAAATCCGAGCAACTCAGTCGAGAATGGGTGATAAATACAGGTAAGAAAAAATATGATTTAATAGGGTAATTATTGCACTAGTTCTCGACCATTGAACCGAAATGTCAACTTTGAGAGTGGAAAATTCGTCTAAAATTATAACATTGTATTGGAGTTAGTGTATACCTACCGATTCCTTGCAAACTTGAAAGAGATTTGTAAATAATTTTTGTACAACTGCAATAGGTACCTACTCCATGTTAAAACATGGTGCATATTTAAATGTGAATACTTATTTATGCAACAAGCGCAAAAAGTGAACGAGTTGCATACAACATTTTTTCAGTATTTACAAAAAAAATTGAAAGTATTTCGTCTCAAATGCCAGAACAATCGAGAATCAGTGCTGGTCGGTTAACCAGTGCATCTACCCTATTACCTATTATACATATATACGGGGTGTTACAAATTCGTGAATAAGCATGGGGATCTCGGTAATCTTAAGAGATACAAAGTAGGTTGAATTAGGGCAAAGTTGCGCAATTTTATGCTCAACAAAATCCTGCTTTGTAATAGAAAAAATTTCAATTATTTCCGGAAATATTCGGAAAAAAACAAAAATACGCAAAATTGTTTCTATTTATTTCTCAGTTTGTTTGAAGAGATATTTCAAAATGATTGTCACTTGTAATTAGATCTATGCTACTAACTACTAGCTACTAGAACTACTATTCGATATTCAAGTTCTTAATATCAATGGTAATTGGGATACGTCGAACTGATGAATTGTTTTATTGCAAAATGAGTAGTTCATTTGATTGTCAATAATTACAGTAGTCGAGTATGAGCTCGATGAATCAGGGTATATAGGGCATTATCGTACTTTCGGCAACATCTACGACCCTAAACGACCACGTGCAGAGCACATTATGCGCAACATTGATGCTTTTTTGAGTCTACCGGTGAACAAATAACTGATCGGCCATGCTAAATAGATGGGGATATGCCATACAGGGTGTTCCTTAATGACATGTAGAGGGTGATTCTTAGAACCCAATTTGAGAAAAATCTTCACATGAATTCATGACCTAAACGTGTTAAATTTTGAGATACAGGGTGGTAAAATTTTCAGAAAAAACATTTTTTCTTTCATTACCTACTATAACTGTTTATATGCTATTGTTTATATACCTTCATCAAATTTGGTACACGTCTTCTATGCATCAAGATACATTTTTTGATGTATACGATCAAATTCATTTCTTCTCGACAAATTCATTTTCCTCTATTATTTTCAATTGATACATTATTGAAATTAATTCGCGACATATTATGACAAAATGTTCAACATTTACGTTCTATTTCGTGTTCTAGAACGTGAAACTTCGCTGACATTTTAAACAGAATGTCACATCTGCAGACAGTTTTCGGAACATATATTTTTGTATCTAGAATGCGAAATGATACTTTGCGTTTGAGAATGAAAATTATTCTGCCGAGCTTCAGCGAGACAAAATAATCATTCGAGTAAAGGTGTCGACTGAAGAGCTTCAACTTGTTAGAAACCTGAAGAAGTCCTGGAGTCCATAATATGTTCCTCAGTAGAGGTAGAGAAAATACACTGAAATGAAATTGTAGAAATAAATTTCGAAGCAAGCTCTACATTATATCGCTGCTACGGGAGTATAATGCCACAACTGCAAAAATTCACTTCTGAATCAAAACTGAACAATGTGTCGTCATTCTGCCAGAGAGGGAAGTCGTGTCAGAAATGAAAATTTTCTGAGAAGTTAGAAAAATTGATAAACCTCTATCTATATATCATGGAATATAATAAATGCGAATCACTTATTTATCCTTGAGACACGATACAGAGATTCCAAAAGAATTTATTTTCAACGCATTTCGATGAACGTACTTGATATGCTAGATAGACTCACAAATACACATTCATATTTGATTCGGATCGACCAAAATGTGAGTTCCATTGTGAACAATTCATCTTAATTCATATCCCGTAGCGGTAACAGCAACTTATAATTTCGATTCGCATTTTCAACATTTGGTGACCTGAATGCGACATCTCAGAGAGGTTTGTGTTAACTGGGTTGCCAGGATATCTTAAATCCAAATCAATACCAAAATGGACCTTATATGTAGTCATGCACTAAGTTTTAACTGCGTAATATTTTAAAGGAGTTGATTTGCATAACGAGTTTAACGCCATCTAGACCACATAGAAGGAACGACACACTCCACAAAACTGTAATACCCAAAAATGGGAGTGCAGTAGTAATCGTTCATTATGTATCGATGCATAGGAGGATATAATTCAATGTTCTGTGTGGCATTAGCCAGGAAAGTAGTTTTTCTCACATCTACCGTAGTTTTTTATTTCATGAACTTTTGTGGAAATGACTGAGCTTTTTTGTATTCATTTACCATTTCATTCCACTTTGGGCATTGTGATTATTTCGTAGTTGAAATTACGCCAGTCGGGCAACCAGCCACTCCCGTATGGAAATTTCAGTTTTGGAGTGATTCTTTCTTTCTGTTCAACTCAGATGGCGTTGCTTTCATATTGTCGATGAAAGACGCCTCTGGGGGCATATAATGCCGACTTGATTTTTGTTTGGCTAGGCTGCGCTGAGTCGGCGGTCTTAGATCTGCTGGCTGGAGACTGCCCTACACTGATGAGAGTCAAAGATCTCGAAACCGGTCTGTTGTGGGTGTATAGCGTGGCCTGGCTAAATCAAATTGAATAGGCATTCAGGAAAGAATCAGTTGTATCAGTATTCTTTTATACGAGTCGATGCATATAGATTTCGGGAGGATGTATTTCAATGTTCTGCGTGGCATTAGCCAGGAAAGTAGTTTTTTCTCCCGGAAAACCATTGTTGTTATTTCATGAACATTATTATGTTGAAATGACTTTGAGCTTCTTGTATTTATCTACCATTTTATTCCACTGTGAGCATTGTGGCTATTTCGTAGTTTTTTGTATTTATTTATTTTTGGTAGTTAACATGAACGAATGAACCTGAAACTTGTCTCTTCAAGGAAAAATCCGACATCTACGCGGCCTACAAAACCGACAGATACTTGACGCAGGTACTCGCCAGGAACGCCCCCTACGAGTTCACCAACGCCAACAAGATCTACGTGGAAGAAGAGGTCCCGATCAGGGAATGCGTCTCCAACGACTTTCCCGAGGAGCTCGAGAAGAAGTCCTTCAAGACGAACCCTGAGGCAGCCAGAGTCTCGATCAATAATTGGGTATGTACCTAACCAGCAAACATTCATTTGCGGTGAACTGAAGGACCAATACAGTGTGCTCACGTAACTAGATGTTGCGAGAGTTTTAAAGATAAGATTGTGATCTGATGAGATCTTCATTTTGAAGGTTATAACCTCATACATTGTCGTGACTTGGTAGCGCTGATGGTCGTATGTTTTCGCAACAGCTAATAATTGGAACGTATATCTATGAGAACATGACTAGCTACTCGCGTATTAGTATCTCATATAAAATTAATTCTGCAACGTCTAAAACCAAGACTGCAGATATCAGATATCAATTTTTTCAGTCAGATGTCTAAAAATCTTGAGGGAATCGTGAAAAATTATAAAACCAGATTTTCATCGTAGGCAGATATAATTAGATATTTGAACATAGTTTTCAATTCTAGTAAATTTTTTTATATATAATGATTTTCGATATTGTGGAAAATGAAGGTAGGTACTTTACTCTTGAGCAAAATTGATATTTTTTTACATACGAAATTAACCTAATATAGTACATTATACATCAAGGGACAGAAATGCAAGATTTATTCCAAGGTGCGATGTGAAGCTCGAGGGCGAAGCCCGAGAGATACAAAGCACCGAGGGAAAAATAGCATTCTGTCCTGAGGTGTATGAAACCGTTGAAGCTAGACAGTTTGATAAAGAGTACTTTTTTCATGTGAAATCGAACGAGCTTACAGATTTTCCACTTATTTTGATCATCAATGAATTGACATAGAAGATATATAATTATCGAAGTAATCAACAGAGTGCCACTGGCGCCCTCTATGAGCAATCACAAAATAAGTTGCAAATTCATATTCCTCATGTCTGAAAACCTATAGACATACAAGATTTCATGTTCATGCTGTTAAAACTAACAAAGTTATTGTGAAATTTTGAAATAAAATCTCCCCCTAGAACACCCCTGTAACTCCTAAACCAGCAACATTTTCATCAGGCATATTGGGCTAAAACTCATTATTTTCGTGTTTACTATCTGTAGTTCAGAGATTTCCCATTCTTAATGAATCACCCTGTATATAATTTATATGTATCACTACAGGTTGAAAATATAACGCACAACATGATCAAGGACCTGTTGCCTCCCGGAACAATAGACCAGACTACTGATTTGGTGTTAGTCAACGCTGCCTACTTCAAGGGGCTCTGGGAGAACAAATTCGCTCCAGAGTTGACGAAGCAGGAGGTATTCTATGTTAGCCCCAACAAGCAGATCATGGTCGATATGATGCATCTTGAGGGTACTTTCAGGCATGGTATGTACCTTAATATGTCTTGGTTGAACGTGGCAACAATGGTTGTGATTGATTATTTTTATACAGGGTGTATCTAAATAACGCCGAAGAAATTCAAGGAGTGATAAAGTTCATATAAACATGTGTCCTAACTTGCTCCGTTTTTGAGATATAGGATGTTGAAGTTGGAAGTATTAATTGTTTCCATTTCCAACCCCTTGTATAAGCTTTCATGGTGCCAAAATTCAGTTTGGTTGGAGACTGAGGAAGCCCCAAAATTTCAAAATGATTGTAATTGGTGTTATTGAGTAATCTCAATGGAAGTCTTTAAAACGCCTAAATTTAGAGTCGAAATCGAATTTTAATTGTTTCCTCAAAAACTAAGATAGATACAAAAATCATACAAGGGATAAATAAGTTTTTATTTGAATATTTCAATCTAATAAATATATGAAACTGAAAAACCAGTGGCGTACAATGACATTCGCCATTAATATGGATAAATTTACTCACTGTGACGCCACTGGAAATACTATTTCGAATCTAATTGCACCAGAAGAAGCTCCATATTACTATTAACAAAACCACAACGTTTTATTGGAATTAATGAAAAGACAATTGAGTAATGAATAAAAAAACGATCTTTCATGGAAGAAAACGAAGCAAGTTAGGACACACATGTTCATATGAACTTCATTTCCTAAAATATCACAAGGAATCACCCCTTGAATTTTTTCGTGTCTCACTTCAAACTGCCGCCCTATATCTCAGCTATTTTACAGTGGTGCAATATGATATGATCAGTTTTTAGAGACGAACATCATTTTGGACAGTCTCATGCGATTTTATTGAAATAAAAAGGGGTGAATTTTTCATGAAATCATAATAGGATTTTTTTACAGAAAAACTGACCCCATTATATTGTTCCTGATGGTTTTTAACCCCCATTTGTGAATTTTCATATATTTTTTTTATCTCACGGAGCGCACAAAAAGAAATTCCTATAATTTTCGTGGAACATCGTGCGTACCTAGGGAGGATAGGGACAGGAGGTAGGTGTTTTATTTTGTTTGAACTATTGGAGTTTATATGATTTCTATGAAGGATATCAAGGAAGCAGGCATATCTAAATAACATTTTTGCGAAGGTAAATAATCATTTTTTTCTGTGACGGGCTGTTGCTGTTGGCTGGTTATAAAATGTCACTTTTCATAATTTACTTTCCATTCGACTTCACGGTTACGTATATTAGGTACTAAACAACCACTAAATTCGCAATGTTTTGAAATCAAATCACATCAGAATCAGACTGACAGAAGTGACATCAGATATTTGATTACTTCAAAAGAATGATAAAGATGCCTACAAAGCAGGTGTCCCTACTGTTAAATACTTAAAATTTCACGTCGATAATTTTCAGATTTCAACATTATATAATATCTTCTCAATATTGATTCGTCCTTTCTACTGTCACGGAAAAAAATGGTGTATTATACACGGGAAAAATATTAGATTTTAGCTCACGGTTGACAACACAACCTGGAGCGGAAATCTACTACTTTTTTCCCTTGTATAATGAATAACTATACTTGGAAACGGTGAGATCAACAAAAAAGTGTACTTATGTGTTTTCTTTCAAATCATCATTTCCTACCTACCGGAGGTTTTGAACGTTTCAAAATTTGCAGTTGTTTAGAATCCACTATTTAGAAAGAAAAAAAGTAAATCCTGTTAATTCGGAATGAGGTGATTTTTTGCACATGGAGGTTTGGAAGCTTGAGGAACAAAGATATGATGAAGTCAGTTTTCTAAAAAAAAAATCTTGATATGATTAGGTAATGAAAAATTGACTTATTTTTATTTCAATCAAATCGCACGGCACTATCAAAAAGGATGTTCGTCTTTGAAAAACTGATCCGATAGTTTATTCATACCAGTGCAGATTGGGTAAGAACAGCAGGATGTATATTAAGTATATAGTTTCCGAGACCCATATGCATATTATTGTGACACATACATTTACCTGTGGAATACCAGGTCAGTGTATTTCTATAGGTATTAAAAGACCAAGCATGGTGAATTCGCAGATTGGTGACTATAAGTTATTAATGAATCTTGTTTCATATAGTTTTCTTTGGTTTGTCTCGATAAAGGACTTATAAGAATATAAAGAGAATTCTTACACCCAATACAATTTCTCAAAGTCTTCTCAACGGTTTCTTTTGATATTCAGTAATTTGATTAACACTCAAGTCTTGTAGAAGCATTCCCTAGTCAAATTTCTGAAAGTTCTGAATCATTATTCAAAATTAGGTTTTTGATTTGTTGATAGGTAATTGTGGTTGCCATTATCATGATTTTGTTTCTGTTTCTATTCATGGGAAACTTCAAATTATAGTTTTAAACGACTATATATACGATTGCCTATTGGCGAATATAATGATCATGATTATTAAATTATTATTATTATTACTATATCTTGTTTGTAATCGACTTTCATTCATGATATACGGATTATATCAATATTAACATGACCTTTCCAAAATTACGACCCAAAAAGCGATGCTACATGTCACTATGTAAAATAATCTCCCTAATCGTAAAATTGACAACATGCAAGTTATTCCATTCAAAATTCGAATGTTCCGGCGAAATTGGACGGCATCCAAGAAAGGAAACGCTGCGTCAAATCTGTCGAAATTTAGAAATTTTATCTTGAACCATTAAAAAGTTACAGCAGTAACTGAAATGAAAAATATGCCTTTACAAGTCTTATTCTAAGATAGAACTACTGTGCATGTAGATATAATTGTACCAATATATTTTCCTCATGTTTATATTTAAAATGAAAATAAAATAAATAAAATTTTTGTTTTCATTTCATTTCGAAATTTTGTGCCATTTATCAAGAAGGTATAGATGCAATTACTAATAAGTGCTAGGTTCCATTAAAAAATAATTGTTCGGGATTCTGCACTCAAATGTGAAAAGTATGTTTTTTTGAACAATGAAAGCATTATCTCAACGTTCATGTAATTACATTTTATTGTGACATTGTTTGCAATCAGGGAGGGAACTAGCTATATTGTATTCAGTACATCATTGAAAAATTCTATTTAAAAAAAAATAAAACATGCCATGATGTCAGGGTTACTTAACTCAGAGGCAATTTCAATTCAGTTGATGAGTCGATGAAATGTATAAAGATTCAGTGTTTTTTTGAACAACCCATGCATGACAATGTATACACGATTTTCAAATGCAGCATGAATCAATTATTATTCAATAAGTACCATAGAATTGTTCAGATAATATACCATATTTATCTCCTCAACTCGACATCAAAGGTCAAATATAACTAAAAATCCTCTCCTTTCATGTCCATGATGTTGGTGTTTTCATTTTATGACACAAAACCCATAGGAAATGCATTAGGTATTATTTCCCAGAATGATCTAAAATCTACATTTATTTATTATTATAATCAGTACGATCTTTAATGTCATTCAATTTCATTTCAAAAGTGGAGTGTAATATAATTGAATGAAAAACATAATCTTCCCCTTTGGCTTGCCATAGTCGGGTAAACAATGCGAATATTTCTCAACTTTTATAATAGGTACCTACACCTACAGTGTGACCCACTTCTATTGGAAACACCCCTGTATCTAACGTAATCGTTTCGTCCTGCAAATTTCAGAATCTTACCTCAATAATTACGTGAGATACGGGGGTGCTTTCATGAGAAGTGAAACAACATTCAATTTCAGTTAGTAGTTAGTGAATTGGGCGTCCTGATTCCGAATCCGAAGTGGTTTTCAACCAATTTTGACTCCTTATATCATTTTCTGGAAATAGGGGTGGTTCCATGGCTGTTGGCGAGCAGTGTATATCACTGAAGATGACCCCTCTTGGTCATAGAGTGCATTTTTGATATATCTCTCGCTCCAGCAAATTTCAGGATCCTTACCTAACGATTACGTAAGATAGAGGGGTGTTTCTATTAGCAGTGGGTCACACTGTATATGTACTAAAAAGGTGAAAATTTAGATTATAGTGAAATAACGTAAGCTGGATATGAACAATACAATATTAAATGGTCCAAATATCCTGTGAATCCAAATTGAATAAATAATCACAGAGCTAAACAAATGAACTTGATACGATACAAAGATCGTAATCCTATAATAATTGCCACACTATGGATCAACATTATTCAATTACTCGGTTATTTTCAGTACTATAGATGCAACTTTTTCAAAGAATTCAGATAGGGCGGTCATAATTTTTAGAATTCGAAAAATATGTTGTTTCATAAATTTATCATACAGGGTGGGCCACCAGTAACGCCTCGGTCTCTAGAAGGCTAACCACTTATCTTCTTGGAATTCTTCCTCTCTAGGAAGCTGCATGTCAACATAGGCTACCATTTAAAATTATTTCGAAACATACAGGGTGTCCCCAAAAACCATAAAACACTGAAGTTAAACTTTTTTCTATCGAACACCCTATATATTGTTTCATACTTGGGGTCTAGCAGTTATAATTAGGTACTGAAATATAGGTGGGAAAAATCGAGATTTTCCAAGTTCAAGAATTTTTTGTGTCGAAACTATTCATAATTGGTCAAAACGACTTACATGTCCCTATCTCAACTTTTGATTGACTATCTACTGATATTTAATTGGGACATATACCGGGTGATCAAGATTCTGAATTCTGCACCACCCTGTATTTGTTTCAATTAAATGTCAGTAGATAGTTGATCAAAAGTTGAGATAGGGACATGTGAGCCGTTTTGACCAATTATGAATGGTTTAGACACAAAAAATTCTTGAACTTGGAAAATCTCGATTTCTCACACCCTATATCTCAGTAATTATAACTGCTAGACCCCAAGTATGATGGATTGTTGAAATCAGCTCACCAGGGAGAATCTCAAAATGAAATAATATATAGGGTGTTCGATTGAAAAATGTTCAACTTCAGTGTTTTGTGATTTTTGGGGACATCCTGTATGTTTCAAAATAATTTCAAATGGTAGCCTATGTTGACATGCAACTTCCTAGAGAGGAAGAATTCCAAGAAGATAAGTGGTTAGCCTTATAGAGACCGAGGCGTTACTGGTGGCCCACCCTGTAGATATAGGAATTCTACTGGAAACCACAAATTCTACGCTGTAGAATGAAGAAAAAACTGGCACTTTTTTTGGGATATTGTAATAACACAATAATGTTCTCCCCACGACAAAAAGACTGGTGACTGAACAAAGTTTCATAATAGGAAACCATGAATAGTTGGAATCTGTCATTGCATTTTCCATGACGTTCATGTTACAACACACAACTTTGTTTTTTCTTATGGGCGCCATATTGGATTCTTACATTTTTGAAAAGTCTTCGATATGATCGAATCTTTTTTTGTTGATCAACATTGGGAAAAAAACATTTTTGCGAAGAGTGCTTCGGAAAGAACGCCAACAGTTTTGTTTTGATCAACATTGGGAAAAAAACATTTTTGCGAAGAGTGCTTCGGAAAGAACGCCAACAGTTTTGTTTAACAAGCTGAATTTCGACAGTTTATTTGAATTTGAATCTGGAACGTTCACATTTTCGTCAAGCTCATCTACTTAAAAACTATGGTTTTGAATCAGGAACGACGTAATGAGCTAGAAGTTTATTCTTCGCAAAACAAAACAAAGTCTAAACACAATTCTACGGGTTTCCTCAGATTCTGAATTGCTCGCAAGATGTCCCGTCTTCTTATCTTAGTCCTGGAAGTGGTGATTATGGTTCTTCTCAGGTCATCAATATCGATAGGTACAATTTTGAAAATCAATTCTTTCATAGTTCCCAATAAATAATAATCCAGCGGAGAGATCAGTTGACTCCGCTGTTGGGAATTACTTTATCAGGAAACATATCTGACAGACACTCGGCAACCCTTCTTGCGTTATGTGGATATAAGCTTAAGAATTCAACATTTCTGTTCGCATATTCAATTGAACTGTCAAATTACAGTTTGTTAAACAAAACTGTTGGCGTTTCTTCCAAACCACTCTTCGCAAAAATGGTTTTTTGTCAATTTTGATCAACAGGAAAGATTCGATCGTATGTTGTGATACACCATTGTAATCAGAAAAAAAAAGGCTTTTCAAGAATGCAAAAATCCGATATGGCGCCCATAAGAAAAAACAAATTTGAGTGTTGTAACTTGGGCATCAAGAACGTCATGGATAATACGATGACAGATTCAGATTCTTTGTAAAAAAGTGCCTCAAGAATGTCCCAGTCAGAATCGTATAGGTAGGTCTCTTGATTTCCGTTTGAAAAAACAACTTCAAAACGAAATTCACCAGTACCTGAACCTGATCTCCCTGCCCTAGGTACACTAAGATGTTACCGTAACATCACAGAGATTCCTTCTGAGAAATAAAATTGAATCAACAATAATTCATCATTGATTTCGGATCTGGTTGTATAGGACCCGGAAACTGACCCAAATAATATGTGAAACAACGAAACAAGTTTCATGTAAGTATATTTTGTTTCAGATATATCTGAAACATTAGGAGCCCACATCTTGGAAATGCCTTACAAAGGAGACAACATAAGCATGTACATTCTCCTTCCACCCTGGTCCAACACTGAAGATTCTATCGAATCGACCTTGAAAAACCTGACCCTAGAAAACTTCAAGAGCATCGTCAATAATGATAACTTGATATCTAAAACGGTACAAGTTGCCCTTCCCAAGTTTAGTTTGGAAACTTCAATCGAGATGACACCGGTAAGTCATTTTCTGATTCAAACAAAAATATATAGTGTGTCTATAGTGTAGGGTATTTGTTTACTTTCTGTACAGTGTAGTCTGGTTTATAGTGGTGGAATTCCAAAAAACAGGGAATGAATAGGTATAAAAAATTGCAAGATAGAAAGTTCCTAGCAATACCTAATTATGACCACGCAAAAAACTTGAAGAAATATAATTTCTTGCATTTTTTTCAACCCTTTTAGTAGCCTCGTTTTTTTGACATGGTTTGTGTTGTGACTAATATATGTGGTATTTTTATGCTGATGACTAGGAATGATATTTTCTTACATTACATATATGAACAATAAACAATTCAATTATTTTATCAAAAAAGTCAAGCTGATACTAGTGAATTTCAGTTATGATTATTATATTTCAATGACTGACTTTACCTGTATTATTGTTTATTGCCGTTTTATAAGAAAATACATTTTCTTTCACATGTACAGTTATGCTTGTAATAATTGATGCAAATACTGATTTAATCAAATTGCGAGTTTTTCTGTGATTCTGATGGGTTTTATAATATTAACTTTGACGTTACCAAACCCAACAATGCTTGTTTGTATTTTTTTTTTTGGTAATATTTCATGGTAGCAATCCACAAAAAAACGCTGTTCTCATGGTCCTCATTAAAATATCTATTCTATACTTAACTTAACTAAACTAGGAGTACTAGATATCACAAACAATAAATTATGACAAAGACCAATTCGATAGTGAGTATGCTTTTTTGTTTGAAGCATAAGACTGCTTAATCAATGGGCTTATATCACAAAAAAATGTTATTTCATAATTCGATAGAACTCACCCAAACTAGCTCACCACCGCAAACCGTTTCTTGCTGTGAGCTCCCTACGTTTTATAAAAAATTATTGAAATCCCCGATTTTTCGGACCTCTGAAAACGAGGCGATGATGTGACGTCAAAACCCACATACTGAAACAAGACTATTCCAGACAGAGATAAATGATACATGATTTCTGACAGAGTGAATTAGCGCGAGATCACTGTTGAAAGAATTGATATATCAGTTGCCTCAGTCTCCGTCGGGCGTTTGGTATTTTCTTTCAACTATGGCGAGATGAGGTTTCTACGTCATAAGAGGGTCCGTTTTCAGAAGGTACTATTATTTATGCCCAAAAATAAAACATTCCATTATTTATGTATAAAAGGATCATTTTAAACATGGTTTGAGTTGAAATTTCTAGTAAGGTGTACACGCCCATTCAAAGTGATTCACATCAAGGGATCCAACTTATCAATAAGTTGAAATTGAAAAAACACTTTCGCTATACCTTTTTTTAATATTCCTTTTTCGTATTCTCCTGAATCACAATTTTATAGCATAACATGATTTTATTGAATTCAATCGGCATTATAAACACGAAAGTAGCAGGCTATGGTCTGGGATCATAAACGGAAGCCTCACAGCTGAAAGGTACATATCGGTGATTTTAGAGCCACATATTATAGTGAAAGGATTTTTGTTGATGAAAGATAATGCCAGGTCTCACGTCGCCCAAGTTGTGAGAAATTATCTAAAGGAAGTATGTATTGCTACCATGGCATGGCCGCAGCTCGGAGCCCAGATTGAAATCCCATTGAGAATCTCTGAAATATTCTTTGGACAAGATTACAAGAGGAGCGTAACTTGAATACTTCGAAAAACGCACGGCAGAGACTAATGATTCAAATTTGGGAAGACCTGGACCAACATATGACATTAGGTCAGGTCTCCTATTTTGGGTATATGCCGTCTTTGTCAAGAAGTTTTTCGTGCCTGCGTGACCATTTCGTTCAACTTGTGACTTAGCTTTCTGGTTCGTTTTTTCATTATTTAATATGGATATTAATTTTCTATAAAATCGTGTTATGCTATAAAATAGTGTTTCTTGAGTAATAGGAAAGATAATGGAGTGAATATAAAAAAGAAATGTTGAAAATAGATCAGGCTAAAGTGTGATTTCAATTCTAACTCGATAGTGTAACTATTACACTCTACAGGGTATTACAAATGAAAAAAATAACACTATAATTGCTACACCCGGTATTCATAAAAAAGAGGTTCTTATGCGAATATAGTTCGCACACCATCAATGTTCAGAAGGAGATAACCTGTCATTCAAAACAAAAAACGTCCAAATCGAAAAAGTAGTTTTGACGAAAATGATTCCTAAACTTTTGGCTACTTTTTGGTCGTGCGTTAATTTCTTGAGGAAGTGTATAAAAAATAGGATTCATTCAGAATAAGGATTACAATTCCATGAAATCTAAAGAAAATATATAATAGCACCTCCGAAATAACAGTATGTAAGTAAAAGTAGGAACTAAATAATCATTATACATCAGTGTTTTGATAAAATTATTCTAAAAATAAATGGCACTGTGTCTGCAAACTAAGGAGAATAGCCCATTTTTCATATAATAATAAAAAACAGAATGATAATTATTGGGAAGACTTACATATTTTCCAATTCACAAAAAAAATTCACCTGAATTACGATATTTTAATGGAGAAAACTGTCCTAAGATGAATTATGATTGTCTCATTCAGAAAAACGCAGATATTTATAGGTACTTCTCAAAATGTTCCTCTCTTGCAGGGCAGGCAGCATTCCTATTATTTTTCATTAATGCCGTTCGATGGTATCGCCATTACGAGTTTCATGCATTTGAATTGAGACGGCTTGTTCAGTGAATATATGCATTATGTTATGTCTATTGGTGTAGAAAACCGAATTTTGCGATATTTCAAGTTGTGACGTTATTCTTCTTAGGTAGCGATATATTCAAGAATGGGCGCGTGGACTGATAATAAACTTATTTCAAAAGGTACTGTCATGGCCGCCATTTGGCGATACCTCGAATAAATGGTGACGTCCGTTTTTATGCTGACTGGTTATTGGTCAGATAATCATCCATTTCCACTGATGAAGCAAGGTTTTCAAGTCATCAATTATAATCAAGTTATCAAAAACAAGTTAAGTGCCCTCTGTCGTTGAATAAAACTTGATAGGAGGAAGCCATGATATTATAGTTCACTCTTGACTTTTTGAGCAACCAGCATGTGCAAGTATTTCTTATACCCCATAATAAAATATCATGTGAATGTTGGAGACTTACTTGGCAACATTGTGCTGAATGCTGAGAACTGACAAGACACCGCCCACAATTCGTGCGCTGGGTTGTCACGTTTACCAGTTCGAATGTCCTCTAGTGTGAATTAATATAATTATTATTTACACAAATGTATTATAATCAATGTTAGCCACAACATTTGGAGGAAAATTTTGAGAATTAGGAATATTACCAATACATAATTGAGAATTTATGAATTATTGAATAACTAATATTTCTGAAGTTTCCAATCGTATTTCAACATATGACAACTATGCTATAGTCTACCGCTACTTACGAAATTGTGACGTCAGCTTTTACTCGCGGTAAATTTCTAGCCGTTTGAAAATTACTGTGGCATTATTGATGATATAAGTCCTTTAAAATCGACCGAAAAATTCTAATAGAATATGAAATTGCAAGGTGTTTGAGTGATGATTCTATTTAAGCAATAAAATATAGTCCACTCGCCTATTGAAATTATCATCGCTGATAACGGACCCAGCGGTAACAGAAAGACTCGTAAAATCCAACTTTCACCTTCGAATAACCTTACCTTATAATCTCCCCCACCTTCTCTTTCTATTAACAAAACTAACACCTCTCTTTTCTTTCTCTGGTAGATATTAGAATCCCTGGGTGTCGGGAACCTGTTCAAAAACGACGCTGACTTCAGCTCCCTCACGCCCAAAAAAATCTCGGTCGGCGAAGGCATTCACAAGGCGCGGATCGAGATCAACGAAAACGGAGCACACGCGGCCGCCGCCACTGCTCTCTTCACGTGGCGCATGATGTCCGACGAAGAGGACACTGTCAAGTTCACCTGCAACAAGTCCTTCGTTTATATCATTTACAACGGGAAGACGCACACCGTGTTGTTCGCTGGCATTTTCAGATCTCCGCCATCGAAATGATAGGAAATATATAGGCTATAACAGTGTCATTCATAGAGTCGGCATCATATTATAAACATACATATGGGAGGAAATGAACGTTTGCTCCCAAGATATAGATATGATTTTATCCAAATTCCAAATCAATGTATTACAAAGGTGTAGTATGTCATGAACAATAATTGACAGTATTTGAATCTGATCGATAATCAAGAGTTGCGTTTCATTTGTTCCATTATGGTAGCGGTGGTGGGAACAGAATGACGTTCACAAATAAATCACTAATACTCAAATTAGCTCTTAGCCTTGATTATACTCAATGCTCTTAGGCTTCTTCGCCTAACTGATGAGACCCGGAAGTCGAAAGTTACTTAACCAAACGATATTTTAGGGTGCAATGTGTTAGCTTTTAACCTTCCGGGTCGCGATTTTACTAAATATAAACTATTGCAGCACAAGACACGCCCCCTACTACGGCATTGCAAAATATAATCGAGCCCAGCACAATCCTGCAAAATCTAATCTTTGACAGCACAACGTAGCTGATTCATATAAATAAATCGATTGAAAAAGTAGCACATACCACGTTATATCTCATCTTCAAAGTACTTTACTTAGGCAAAACTCAGAGACTATTTATCCTCAACGAACTAACCTATCCCTGATTGCAATATTTTTGAAGAAGGAAAACCGAATGGAGTGTAGAAACACATTGATTAATAATATATTTCAAAAGTTGAGTTCTTCAACAAAATTGAATAAAATGAGACTGTTTATCCTAAACGCACTAACCTATTTGACTTCAAATATTTTATGAAAAAGGAAAACTAGAATGAAGTAAAGAAACATTGGTGAAAAAAAAAAGTTGCAAAAAAAAGTTCGAGTTCACAGCGATTCGAACCATGAACCTTCAGACTGACAGTCGACAGCGCTAACCAGTAGACCATTTGGGTGTATGAATTTACTGCGTACAAGAGATTGACAACGAGAAAGCTTCAGTTCTTGCGTTGGAGCACAGTATGAGATATGACGTATTATGGTGGGCGTGGTTTGTGCTAGCGTGCAGTATATTTAGGAAAATCGCTTCCGGGTCTCATCCAGTTAGGCGAAGAAGCCTAAGAGCTAATTTGATTATTAATTTAATTCAGTTGGTTCAAGAAGTAGTTCTCAAACGCAAAGAACAATGTTTGTTCATTTTGCCAGACACAAAGGCTGTGCCAGTGCCGGCATCTGCTGAGTTCTACAATTTCGGGCAACTATTGTCTTTTGTGCTATGCACTTTTGACCTTTTTCTTTGCTTAATTGAAAAAGAAAATTTGTCTATATGTAACTTTTGACGAACGATGATCGAGCGAAAGTCACGTGACTTCGACCGTGTAGGCCATTTTTCATATTTTTTGAAGCAAAACTTAACGCCCAAGTTGAATTTCAGAATAAATCATTATCAAAAGCTTTTCCCATATGATGCCAACTTTATGAATGGCACTCTAGAGATAATTTTTCATGAAGTGAAGATCAAGGGATTGGGACTGTGGTGACTGTTTTTGACTACTATATACTCCAGTCAAATAAGGGTTTCACCTCGGAATGAGAGATAGAAAGCCGGAAACTTGTATAAACCTTCATTTCAACGTTTCAAAAGTTGTCTCAAGAGTCTAATGAAATCTCGTGTCTGCGTCGTAAGTTATTCAAGGTGAAAGGTCACAAAATTCGATTTTTCGCGATTAACTAGGTTTCAATAGCTTCAATGATATAGAAACCTATCATACAAATTGTAGAGCATGAAATTTGCGACAAACTTTGTTCGATAAATTTTTCCATGCGCTCAACCGTACAAACTGAAGTAGAGGGTCAATTGTGGATCTAAGTTAATAATACCTTGTATGGAGTTTGATCCATCAAGAGTTATTTCTCATTTATATGTTGAAAACGAGAGCAGATACGACGTTTCCGGAATGTCCGGAATGTCCATATATGAGTGGAATTTTATATCATTTCAGAACTTTACATAATTTTTCTTCAAACATTCTCCATATAAAGTGTCATGCACTGACCACTGCCTGAATGATTTTTTTTCCTCTTAGTTTTCTGATTGGTAAAATAAAAGCGCAGTGACAGAGGTGGCATGAAATCATCTGATCTCACTTTGCACAACTAAAAATGCATTGTTTTTTGCATTCTGTAGTTAGGAGTATGAGTTTTCAGGTATTCTAAAGTCTAGAAAAACTCGAGGAACAGAATAAAACATATCTGAAAATAAATAATATATTGTGCTTATGGACTGTGCAGACTACAAACAACTAAAAATGCATTTTTTTGATCTATGAAAAATGTTATTGAATACAGTACATTAATTGATGAATAATACAAATTATCAATTTTCAATGATATTTCGATGATTTGATAACTTCATACGGGGTTTTATTTACTGAAATTCCAAGATGTTCTTTCATTACAGCAGTATGTATGGCTGAGATCCATGTTTTCTCCTCCCTCCATTTCAAAAACGGTGGAGCGCATTAAAAAATACATGGTATAAAATTCCAGCTTCATGATCTCTAAGTTCGAGGTTCATCCTTTTTTTCCCTCAAATGACTGAAGTACTAGCTCAGATACAATATCATAACCAAAACACCACTAAAATATTAGACCATGAGGGATCTTGCTTCGCTCTTATCGACTGCTAATTATAATCACCTATAATAAAAATATGTGGAAGAACTGGAAAACACGCCAACTTTAAACAAAGAGGCAATATACACATACCTATCTGCTTTTCTCAGAGAGGCTGAGAAGTTGAATAAGGCGGAAATTTTGCAATCCTGGATCAATAATAATAAGAAGACCGAGGTAGTTATCGAAAGATTATTGCAATTTTTTGTCACGCCGGTGCAGAGCTACGCCGAGCACTGACGAAAAGTGCTTCGGATATTAACCACTATAAGCACTAAGCACAAAACGCTCACGATTACTAAGCATTCCATGTAACGATCAGTATAGTACTCAAGTATGGAACGGTTAGTGCTTAGTAATCCTCTTCGTAAAACGCTCGAAGCACTGAGCACTAAGTACTGGTCCAAAAAAGTGCTCGGGAGCACAATTCTTATGAGCACAAAACTGTTCTAAGTGCTCTAACGAGCACTATGCACAATGCTTGGGACAGCTTTGCGCCGTTGTAGGTATTTCATTGAAAACAGGCAAAGAAAAATATGAATTGAAAATGAACTAGGTAAGTACAATAAAAATTAACGTCGCTAAGATTCACAAAATAGAAAGTAATATCTCTCCCTCTCTTCTTCTCTTTTTTGAGAGATGGTATATTTTGATATGAACACCTCACATTCATCTATATAGTCTATGAAGTAAATCTACCGCAACTCAATAGTCTGGTCTTTAGGAAAGTCAGAAAAATTAATTATGAATCGTATAAAAATCAGAGATGAGTTGGGTGCCTATCTCTGAGGATACTGTTAACCGTTATCCTATGATGGTTATGACAGTGGCTTGCAAGTACATACGTCTTTACAACTTCCGCCTTCGTAAAGGATGCGAACATTTTTCACATTGTGGGCGTTCACTACTAGCAGTTCAAATGTAAATGATCAAAGTGAGAGCCCCAAATCGTCTAAGACTAGAATTATTATAATTGCAGAATAGTAGTTTATTACTTTGTAAGTCCGGGTAAATCAACATATTTACCGGACGTTCAGGTATCAGGCAAAACCAATGAGTCCTGTAAAGATCTTTTCCGGATGAGCTGCGTTCAACCATTAGTCCCAATATGAAATATACGGAAATATCATTATGAAATTTTTTTAAATAGTAAAATTCTGATATGTTTTTGCAGAACGTATGAGCACATTGTGCGCGCAAGTCCTATAGAGAGAGTTTTCAGAATATTAATAAGTTCCTACTTGTATCGAGTATTTAACGTTTGCGATACCTCTGAGCTTATGAAACCTACTAACAATCACAATTCATTCTGTGCCAACTGAAATGACTCAAGACAAAATGTTATTTGAACTCCCAGTATTTAGAAATGACTCAAGGAAAAATGTTATTTGAACTTCTTGTGCTGTGTTCACTTGCACTAATCAATTCTGATTCGTGGCCGTATACTTATGGGATAACGCTGTATAAAGTAAATATTTGGAGAATTAGGTTGAATACTCGAATACAAGAATAAAACAAAAACAAAAACCCACTGGAATACTCATAAATGCATAATAATCACACATCACACCTAATAATGGTCCTTTTTTACACCACTAGATATAAAACTCACTATAATTTACTCCTTTTCGAAGCGTAAAGTGTGTGTTTACTACCAATAAGGTATCATTTTATAAACCACTACTGGATAAAGACATAGCCACCTCTGTTGTAAAACCCGAATGCACTGTTCTGATCAGAGATTCGCAGGAATGGCACTCGAATCTAGTAGCTATTTATCAAGTATTGAAAATAAGTGCTTTCATAGTGACAATAGGACTATATTTCGGTTTCACAGAACTAAAATGATTGAAATATATTTCTAGTGGTGAAAAAATGTAATATAAACCTTGGCAGTAAAGAATATTATTACCACGGGACCTTATACCCCTCAGCTGGAGCCTTGGGATATAATCTTGGTCCCTGGGTAATAATGATATTCTTTACTACCTTGGTGTATAAATAACTAATATGATAACATATTTTCACTATAAAATATGTGTTGATAGTAAAGCTAGTCCCCGTCTATAGTTTGTTGTTAACTATACCTATCTATAATTCATTATACAAGAATGATGAATGTTATATTATATAAGGTAAATCATGAACCGTAAATAATACCTACAAGTACCTATGCCAGTCTGTGCTTTCTATAATTACATTAAGGTACTCCTATAGAAATAATACAGAATTTTTTGTATAATTTAATCTGGTAGTGCCATACAAAATTAATAAAATACTTGGACACCTACCATGCTATTTTTATTGTGAGGATGAGATACCCTTTATTCAATGTTTTTGAGAAAGTT